GTCTTACACCTTGAGCCAACATAGAAGGAGTTGGTGTTTGGGTATGATCTTTGTTGGACTGATTCAAAACCTGCTTCTATCATTAGCCAGTGTAATTCTTTAAGAATATGAAATCTACTGGTGGATTAGGAGTTTCTCTGAACCATTTGTTGAATTACACACCAAATATAATGTGTAATTCATTCTCTCTTATTATTGTTCTGCTATTAGTGGCGCTACTCCTGCTATTATTACTCTCATATATATCTCAATGTTTTGAACTTCTGGAAAGTTCTATGACATCCAGGATAAACACACTTGAAAGAAGCTTTGGGTGTGCAACTGTGGGTTTGCACGTGCCTCACATATGTTAACATATCAGTGCAAGTAACACGACAATACCACACAGTTCAAATGAACAGACTATGTGATGAGCTGATTACGTTAGGTGAAGAAATGAAGCTAAGACAATGGACCACAATGGACTGACGTTCAACACTAAAATGAGTTTGATCAGGTGTTAATGTTGCTCCTGGGATAACACACACGTAACGTTACTGTTAGTGTTACCTCAACTGTTCACTGTCTTGAACACACGTCGGTGATTTCTGGTCCGTGCTCCATTTTGATAATCGTCCCGTTTGCGGTCCTACAGTCAGTTTCTATAATAGCACAAGTAAACACAAGTTAGGTTACTAACGTTACATCTCTTTTATTCCGTGATTAAGCTATTACATAAGAATGGCCGTCTGAACATAAAGATTAGGTTAGTGAGTGTTTTCTAATCATGCACAGCCAAAGTGTTTGAACCCAAAATGTAGATTAATATTCTTGTATATGTCAGACAGTTTAATATAGTGTAAAATCAAAGCATTGTCACAGACACTAAAGCTTGTAGTCCAGTGAAAAATATAAACTTCTATCATATCTTGTTTCTTGTAATTGTAACACTACTTTAAAATTTCATTTCATCAAAACAAGGCCTCAAAAGGGGAAATAGTTTCTGCAGGTGAAAAGAAAAACGTTTTATCTTTTTATCGGTTATTACTTTGAAAGTTGTGCTTTCAAATGAAAGCTTTGTTTGCCAAAAGTCATCTACAAAAGTGCAACATTTTAAAGTAAGACACAGTGTAGCTTTAACTTGTCCATACTGGCTGCAACCTTGGACAAGAAGGCTTTTGAGCTCTACAAAAGGATTGTCGTTTATTTCTTTTGGTTTGGTTTATTGACAACATTTTGATATATTTATGAATTACAACATTTAAGACTTTGTAGGATTTAGAATAATCAATGATGTCCTTGACTTATTTCCATTTTTGGGAGAGGCTACAAGGCAGTGTGTGGATCCAGAAGCACTACAGATTATTGTAGAAATACAAACCAAAATAAACAACTCAACCAGCATTGTCACTCACTTAGTGATAATCTCTGACCTTTCTATTCCTGTCAAAGGCCAGGTTTTCCTTGACACAATACATGTAATAATGTCAGACTCAGAGACTCACTGAAAAGGAAAATGTGCATCTTGTGAATGATTATTGTGATAACAAGATCAAGTTCGTTGTGGAGGCCAATTGTCTCTTGTTGAAGTGACTGTGTGAAAAAAATATAAAATGGATTATGTTTTAAACTGAATGATTTTCCTTTTGTCACATACTTTATTAATGTTGTTCATGTTGTGACACTGCCCTCCACTTTAGACTCCTGTCTGTGGGTAGCAGTGCTGGAAGGCAAAGTGGTGGGTATCGTAGCAGCAGTCAGCCAGCAGAAGCCAGGAGGTGCTGTTGAGTTGCAGTGGACATCTGTTGAGCGGAGCTGTTGGCGGTGGGGAGTCAGCGTACACGCCCGCGGCCCACCAGCTCTACCAGCGTCTGGGATTCCACTGTGTGGGGTTCACTAACGGGTACGTCACACCCGGTAGAAGATGGTGCTTACTGGAACGAATCTTCTACAGGGTCCGTCATCATCACTACAAACTAAATGTGCAAAATAGCAAGATCACTGAAAATGGAAAACACTGACTTAGTGGGAGTGCAGACGACTAAACTGAAGTAACTCAAAAATGGCGGCAGATGTCGTCTGTTCAAATGCTTATCTTAATCTTAAAACATCACTGAACTTGTTTGTGCAGAGTTCAGCATGGCTGACTTTGACTATACAGTGGTTTACCTCTATCTCATACCAACATTCAACTGTTGTTTCTTTTAACCATGGCAACAATCTTTCTTACCCTTAAAGGGACATTGTGTAGGACTTTGGCATCTAGCAGTGTGGTTGCAGGTTGCAGAAGCCTATATGAGTTTTTTCATTTGAGATGCTATGTGATGAAAGTTCAATGTGTGTGTAAGAAGCAATACATTTTTATTTCAGTACCTTTTAAATTGTAATTGATTGAGTTTTGATTCAGTTTGAAATGTCTTATATGCCTTATATGACTCTATTTTCAAGTATATAATATATATTTATATAGCATGTCTATGAGCGCACTGGCTGGTATTAACGGGGTAGTTCAGTAATGTATTTAATGATGTCTGTGATTGTCTCTGATGCTTTAAATGCCTTACATGACAAATTAAAACCATACCAAATCAAAGCAGCAGAGGCCAAGATATTATGACCTAGCTCCAAAGAAAATGTATTTCCCGTAACAGCGTCTTTCATTAGACCCCTTTGCCACCTAAATGTCCACTTCTTTTATACCCTACAATGCATGTTTTTACAGTAACAACCTTGGATGGCTCCTTCCAGAACCACAGAGGACATTATATAGCTGTTTTCACAGTAATGCACTCATTGTGATGTGTAACCTTGAAATTAGTGCAGTGCCCCTTTTAAAGATGCGAATAATTTGAAAATGAATATCTCATTTGCACGGCTTTGCTCATATTCATAAAGCCTGCAGGCTTTCTATTTTAAGCCTTTACTCTGTTATCAATCATTGTAACATTCAAATGAACCACACAACTTTTATCTCTGGGTGAACAATACTTTCTCTATACTCCATGGGGAGTTCATCTCGGTTTTTTCATGATTCTCTGTCTGAGGCTCTTTCTCAGATATCAACCGATCTTGAAAACACAACTGCTCGTATGAGATAATAGAAGGCTGTAGCAGTTGATCCCAGCTCTAACAACTCCTCACTTCCTCTTAGTTTCTTTTCAGTTGACTTACTCAGCACCAAGATCCTCAGCAGCTGAGGGAAGATGCCATCTGTTATGGTACTGTAGCTTTTATTTTATCCTCCCAAGTCCTTATAAAGGTACACAAATGACCAATATATAATTGAACATTTCTACAACTTTCTATTTACCCCATAACAGTTACTATAACTAGCATTTAACGATTCAGTTCAGCTGAATTTATTTGAAATGTTTTGTCCCGTGGGAGAGCCTTTGCCTGCAGCTAGATACAGAAACATATGAATATGCAAATGAGCACACTCTGAGACGGACTAACTGTGGATCACTGCAACATCCAAGACCTTCTATCCTGAAGGAGATATACTGAATTCCTAGAACACAGTGTAACGCTTCAGAGCAGGTGTCTTCAACGTTTTTCAGGCCAAGGACCCCCAAACTGATCGAGAGATGGAGCAGGGACCCCCGACTATATACAGTATATTGTATAACATTGTGTTTTATATTAAATGGGCCTAGTACTGTGTATAAACATACCTCTTTATTGTGCATTCAATACTAAGCTATTCAAATAATACACAGGTTCATATATTCATGTTTTTATTTTAAACATGTGCAAGGTACAGTGAGTAGGGGGGCCGTGCCACTGACATTTAGAAGCATACCTTGTCAGCTGATACCAATGCCAATATCAACATTGTCTGTCAATTGCATGATAATCATGCACACAAGCTATTCAAATTGATGTTTTTATTTCAAACATTAATGTGGAAATGAGAATGAGTGATGGCCTATTAGTGCCACTTCCATGCATAAACATACCTGTTATCTTTCATACAATACTAAACTATTAAAATAATGGACACATTAATGTTTTTTGGTCAAGTTACAAAACCATCCATTTTCATTCATAACAATGTCCAAACACTTATAATAATATATTGACCTCAGCAGTTGTGGAAAGGAGCTGCAGTGTTTTAGCAGAATATCTTGCAAAAATGATTGCACAAGGATTTGTGGGGGAAGTAAGTGTCGTTGTTTTTTCATTTTTTTTTTTACAACGGTATCTTCTTCTCAAATAATATTGCATCCTCGGTCAATCACGGGGAACCTGACAGAGTCAGCATGTAACATGCGGCCTCGTGATTGTCACAGCAGCGATAGGGGCGGGTCCTCCTCTTTATGTGCAGGAGGCCTGGAGGGACAGGTCCAGGCTAGTCTCGTGCTGTGAGTGAACCGGTGCCCAGCTTGAGAGAGATCCTGTGTGTCGCTGAATGTGTGCATTTCTGACTGAAAGATAACATCTTCTGCCTCCATGTATCCATTCGCTATGATATGTTGGATTCATGTTAATGTGCATTTAAAGACATTTACAAAAAATATGAAAAATTGTCTAATCAACCAAAAATGTCACGACCCCCTATGTAACTATGTAACTATGTTAATTTGAAAGTGCCAAGAAACCTTCAGTGATCTCCTATGTCCATTTGGGTGCACAAAGTCCATGGTCTTTGCAGAATTAATGAATTTGATGAAGACATTTCTTATTTTCCTCTAATACATTTTATGAAACATAAAGCAGAAATTTTATATAAAAATGAATATGAATGGAGACATCCTGCCACTGTGGTCCAGGGTGTTCTGTGGGATTGAGTTCGGAACGGATGTTTTGCTGAGAATATAAACTGGAACAAAACTTGAGTAATCGAACTGACTCAGACTGTTCCCCAGTATGATGATATGAAATCTGCATCTTCAGCATCTTTGTGTTTTGTGAAATCTGTTGTTCCTCATATACGTTCATGTCAGCATGTGCTTCATGTTGTGAAATTGGCAAATAGTTGCTGTTGCTCTATGTAGATCACGCCAACTGAAAGTGCTTTATTTTCCATGATCTCACACAGTCGTCTTAATGCCCTCATGACCGAGGAGGAGGCAGGTTTCTTCCCCACTGAAGACAAGTGTGAAGTTACCCTACAAGGATTTAAAGTCAGTGTGGCACTTATTGAAGCAAGTGTGATGCGTTTGCAGGGTGTAGTTACAGGAAGTCAATAGGTTAGGTTTTACTCTCCAAGATTTCCTTCATATTTCCAATTATTTCACTTTGTCATCATCTTTACAAGCTGAGGTAAGGTTTACTTTGTTTGTATCTTACATTGATAGTATTTAAGCTATACATTTGGTATTATTAGTGTTGCACTACAAAAACACAAGACAACATTTGCAGATTTTTCAATCAAGGTAATGCAAGGTCTGAAGTATCCTCTGATGTCGAGATAGGAACTTACTGACTGAAATAATTGAAAGGGCACAGATTTTTAAAAACATTATCAGAAAAACTCAGAGTTGTTTCAGAATCTAATACCACTGTTTTTTTATTTTTTACTAATACTCTAGCTCATGAATCAGATGCAAAGATGACTGTCGAGTACCGCTCCTCTACAGTGACAAACATGGACATTGACAACAGTAAAGTTGGCTATAGACAACTTTTAGGAGATGGCAGCAAGCTCCGGTATTCAGGTAAGAAAATAAGAACTTCATTCCAAAGGATGTGACAATATAAATCATATAATCCATGAGACAATAAGCTCAACAGAGCTTTAAATCATTTTTCTGCACACTGATTTGGATTCACAGCCAGCAACTGTTTTATATATTTCAGATTCAAAGCTCTGATCAACAGAAATCAGAAATAATATCTTATAATAACCTTATATTTGGAAAGACACACTTCTGAAACTTGTAGTTAAAGGTGCAATAATACATTTCTTGGTACATCAGAATGAGCGTTAATTACAACATTCAGACTTTTAACAGTTCAACCTTTCATCTTATAAAATTGATATGGCGAATGTGTATTGCCTATTTACTCAGCCAATATATAACAACATTAGTGAACATCTGAAGTCATGTTTTTGGCAACAGCTAGCAGTTGCAGCAGCCAGGCAGATTTAAGCAAAAGATTTAAACAAAACTTTATGAGGTAAAACAAATCCATGATTACTTCTTTAATCCAAGTGATTACTCTCAAAACAGGACATTTTGGCAGGATATAGTGGAAATACTGAGACAAAAGAAACTAAGCGAGCGACATCTACATAACAATAGTACTACCATGAAACAATAAAGGAAAACTGTCATCCGTCAGTGATTATGGCAAAGTGTTTATATTGAGGTATATATCAGGTCTATGGGAAAAGTTGCAAATCACTCAGCCGGACATATTAATATAGGATTTATACAATTGCTGCATTATTATATTGCAGATATTTCACTCTCAATATTTTTTTCCGTAACCACTTCCTGACTGTATCTGTAAAGATAAAGTTAACAACGATACAGCCAAGGTTGACATGGTTGTCCTCTGGTTTGTTAGACATTATTCAACTTTCATGTGATTTATGTTGGAATCTGTAATCTGTTGTTTTCAAAAAATAATAATTAATGATGTGTATTTGTAAAATAATTAATTTGTCAGCGCTTTGGCTTGAAACAAATGTTTTCTATAGTATTTTGCAACACCACTCGATATTGTAATACAAATGACGACAAGTTCCTGAGAACACTTCATTGATTTTAAGTTTCTGTTTCTGTCTTTCAGTTTATGCATTGAGAAACAGCCCTTTCAAGGCTGCTACAGTTGTTCTTGGGCTGCTGTGTGCTCTCCTGTTGTTTGGGGTCATAGGTCAGAGTGTCCACTGTGAGCCTACCTCTTTGTTTTCACTATCAAATAGCCACGTTTTAGAAAGTTTTCTGATGTCATGGTAAAATCACTGACTAACCAATATCTCTCATCTCCCACAGACCGAAAAGTAGAGCAAGACCATCAGAACAACCTAAAAGCTGCGAGTAACGAGAAAGAGAAACTACAGGAGAACCTGAAGAAGGTGCAGAATGATGTAAAAAAGCTTGAGACTAGCCGTAGTCTGTTAGAGCAAAGTAACAAAGTCTTATCTACAAGGAAAGAGCAAATACAGACCAATATCAGATTGCTGACAGAAAATACAAACACACTTCAACTTAGCCAAAACACGTTAAAGGCCAGTAACAGCGCTTTCAGCAAAGAGATAGAAGAGCTAAAAGCCGATATAGACCTGTTACAGAATAACAGCAAAGCTGTGACTACAGCCAAAGGCGTGTTACAAGATCGATATGATTCAGTTTTGAAACGCAAAAATGAGGTACAGGCCAGTTTTGAATCAGTGACCAAAGACAAGAACAATTTACAGAACAAATTAAATAATGTAACTAGATCAAGAGAGCATCTGCAGTTGAGCTACAATGACTTGATTAAGAAGGTAGAGCATTTGCAGGTCAGATACAACTTATCTAGCAGTGAGAAAGAGAAGATAGAAAGCAGTCACCAAAGCCTGACAATATCAAAAGACAGTCTGCAGGACTCTTGCAACATACTGTCAAAAGCGACAGATGAGCTGCAGGTTTCTTACGCGTCCTTGGTTCAGGAAAAAGAAGAGCTTGAAAGCAGTTGCAAAAATGCAATTGTGGAGAGAGACCAGTTGAAGGCGAAAAATGACAACCTGACTGCTGTACAGGCAGAGTTGGACAGACTGAAGAAAATACCCCCAGGTAAGCGGAAAGTATTAAGACAAAAGATATATGTTTCATATAGCAAGATGTTTTCCAGCCTGGCAAAATGCATTTGGCCTTCTTCTTAAAATCATGCTGGAAAAAGCTGGAAGGTCCAGTGGCATCTAATCACAACTCACCACAAACCATTTAAAAAATGAAAATCATTGCTTTTAAACACTTATTGATCAACACACATTTTGCATTTTCAGCTAAGAAGTGCCCCACTGGCTGGACAAGGTCTCAGTACAGCTGCTACTTTACCTCGGTTGGCAAAAGTAACTGGACTCTGGGCAGAGACTACTGTCAAAGCAAAGGCGCAGACCTGGCTGTCATAAAAAGTCAAGAGGAAATGGTTTGTTTAGCTGTTTGCATTTGTCTGTATCTGCATGACTGTAAGTGTCACCATAGAAATTGTCATAGAAGCACAAGGGACAAAATTTAAGTTGGTTGCAATCTGCAACCCTAAACCCACTAAATCCTGCACACCAGACCTTTAACACTAATCAATGTGAAAGGTGTCGCTCATAGTGATTAAGCCACAAATAAATATCACCATTCTCATTCTACAGCTCGCCTCAGCTCCACAAAGATGTTAAGCTTCTATCTGCTCATTGTTTTGATTGTACTACCTGCAACTTTGCTGGTTTGGTTCAGTTGTCCTTAAACAAAAGGAAGTTTTGGCATGATATTTTTTTAACAACAGATTTAGAACAAAAGATTAACAACAAAAGTTTTAGTCACGCTTCAATTTCATACAAAGTAACACTACTGGAACTTGTAGTAAAAGCTGCATTGAGTGCTTTTTTGGGGCTTATCTGGGCCAGTGGAATCATTTGTAAACACAGCATTGACATAACCCTACAGAGTTTATATGGCAAAAGTGTTTGGAAACAATTTATACACAGCAACCTCAGAGTCTTTGACCATGCTACGATCTCCAATATTCCCTCTCTTATATCTCTGTTATCTCCACTAACTCCTTCATTCATTACATAATTTCATCCATTGTTAAAACAAAAATATTTATTATTGCAACTATTTGTTCTGGTTAACACAAGCAATACTATACATGACATAACTGGATGTAACTGTATTTGATGAAACTTCTGCAATAACTTTATTTTTATGTTTCTTCCTTCATAGCTCTTCATCAATGGCTTGTATGCAAGTGACAAAGAAGTCTGGATTGGATTGACTGATGGAGGAGTAGAGGGTCAGTGGAAATGGGTAGATGGGACACCAATGACCACAACGTAAGAAGCTATGCTCAAATCTCTTGGAACAGGGTAGAGTAGTATGTATTCTTATTGTGGATGTCTCTCTGTGTCCTGCAGGTTCTGGGGCAAAGACCAGCCCAACAGCTTTGACGGGAGGAACCAGGACTGTGTGGAATTCTGGCACAGTGCGAAAGGGAAGGGCACCTGGAATGATGAGATGTGTAACATAGAACAACAGTTCATCTGTGAGATGTAGTATGTACAGAGGTGTTGAGGTCTGGCTAGCTGTGCTGATGATCATTATGTATCAGTGTAGTCCTAAAGTATGCATATTGGACTGTTGTAAATTGGAAATAACAGAAATATCAGACACAATTTGTTTAAAAATGTATATTATGTGACCAGTTAACACACAATGACTGATGAGTATTATGAAGTTATGGCTTCTTGTGTGACCGGTCCAGGGAGTATGAAGGTTCACACATAATCCAACAACCGTTCAATCTGTATTCTATATAAATTAACAGATGGAAAAAAAGCTGCTTGCATTGCAATTAAAATGCTTTTTTTGCTTATTCTATATTCTTATAAACACATTTCAATGTATATTCATGTAAACACAGTTTGAATAAAATAATTCATCTTGTGCCACTAATTTAATGTATGACACTAATAGTTTACTCAGAGTTCATTCATATGCTCCAGTAGTTTGGAGCATATACCTAAAGCTATAGTTATTAGAAGGATATTGCTATTTAAGAAATAAATAAATCAGAGTATTAGTAATTACCTGTGTTGGCTCTCCAACAACACTTTCCTTTGTATGTGTGAAATTGTGAACAAATTCCATACATTAATCAGTAGTCACTAACGTGATCCAGGTTATGGATTAGGTTATGGGATGTCATTAAGAAGTATTAGTGTGTAAGGCCTTGTTAAGGGAATACATCACCCCAAAAATCCCCATGATCATTTATCAATTTCTCACCCTGTGTTTCCTTTTCTTGCATGCCTCCAAGGTGAACGAAGAACTCAAAACTGAGAAAAGTCTTAATGAATAGAAGTAAATGGGGGCCACGTTCATAACAACTGCAAAACTATATCAAAACATATGTTCACCAACTCTCAAACAACCTGCGCAGTGTAATACCACCCTAATGTATCCAGCTGTATGCTCACTTCATCCCAAATGTTTGCTAAAACCTTACTTTTTCAAATACTACAGCATAAACTGTTTCCTCCGTCTTTCTTCATTCAATGTGGAGGCATGCAAAAACAACCAAATTTGTCTTTAAGAATTCAAGGTAACTAGGAGGCCAATATCATTTTGTGCATACCAACATGTTGGACGTACTACCTACTGTATGGAGGAAGAAGAGAGGTACAGAGTTGGTGGAACAGCTTCAGAAGGACACTAGGTTGAAGAAGGCCAACATCACTAAGAATTTACATGTGATGGAGTTTCAGACACTCGCAGCTTCTACATTCGTCTGGTTTGGCAAAGAAATCCACTGATGGCTCAGCGTGAGACTGCACATGCATTGAAAAGAGACTGATAGCGGCGGACCTCAAAAAGTGCCAGGAAAGAGGTCATCTGACACACTTGATTAGCAATTAGATCGATTCTGGAAGTTAAGATACAGGAAATTGATGTGAACACAGAGAAAGTGAAGCTGAATAATTTCAGGGAAGCATGTCTCCATCACCATAATGCGAGTTCAATTTTGGTGGAGAAATAATACAGGAAAGGTATTTGGTCAATAAAAACTAGTTTATTGTCATTCTTATTCACTTCTGTTTATCTACAATGCATTTCTTAAAATATCTGACCTCTCGAAGACTGTAGAATTAAAACATTCAATATGTATATATGATTGCATAAAATAAACATGTACTTGGATACAGTCTGTCGATTAATTTCTACCCGTGAAGGAAAACAGGACATAAAGTGTATAAATGTGTAGCAGACTGCAAAAATCCACCCGTTAGTGTCATCAAATATGTATCAAAAAGATATTTGACACAAAAAATGACATCTGCAATAATTTCATTTGCCTGTATTGGCTGAATATCATGGTAAAAGTAATTGCTATGAATTACGTTTGGACAGTCATAGGTATATATAATCTCATACTTTTGCTATCCACACCAATAATATCACAAATTCACAGTCCAAATGGTTAAAATCAAGTTTGAATTTAAGGTTTTAGATGTGGCATTAATGAACTTTTGAGAATAAATCCTCAAATTAATGATTTATTAAAACATTCCAGATGCAAGTCAGATAATTTAGTAAACTGCATATTTAAAGGGTCAGTTCACCCAAATAAATAAATCTTAAAGGGGCAACACGACACCTAAATTTAGGATTAGAGTAATCCTATCCCTAACACACACACACACACACACACACACACACACACACACACACACACA